GTTAATGGGGACTGTTAGTGACTAACAACAGGGGGTATGTAGTGGCAGGCTATGTGGTAACAAGGCCTGGTGTGTGGGGTGGGGGGCTGGGACATGGGAGAGTTTAGGGCCTAAAATTATTGAACTCAATATTGAGTCCAGAGGGCTGTAGGGTCCCCAAGCGGAAAATGAGGTGTTGTTCCTCCAGCTTGCATTGGGATTCACTGGAACACTGCAGCAAGCCAGAGACAGATGTTGGCCAGGAAGCACGGTGGTGCATTGAAGTGGCAGGCAACAGGTAGTTCAGGGTCTTTTTTGCAAGCAGAATATAGATGTTCTGCGAAGCAGTCGCCAAGTCTACGCTTCGTTTCCCCAATGTAGAGGAGACCACATTGTGAGCAGCGAATGCAGTAGACTAGGTTCTTGGAAGAGCAGGTGAAATGTTGCTTCACCTGGAAGGTATGTTTGGGCCCTTGGATTCTGGGGAGGGAGGAGGTAAATGCACAGGTGTTGCACCTTCGCTGGTTACAGGGGAAGGTGCCGTAGGCAATGATAATTTGGTACTTCAATATCAGGATCCTTCCATGACCCACTGCAAAGTTGGAAGGACTCATACTGATGGCATCAGAGCTGCTTAAAAGATCGAAGGGAACAGTCAGATACTGAAGAACAGTTTGTCCTTTTCAATTCCTTTTCTGTCCTTTTTCATGGTTTGCAGAATGTTGAATCAGCTTTGTCTATTCCCAGTGTGCAGGATGTCAAGAATGAATAAAAGTAATTTTTTTCATCAAAAGGCACAATATGTTCTTGTACAGCCCTATGTCTACTGTGTGCTGTTTTCATTGGAGGCTCCACAAAATAAGAGTGATGATTTTGAACATTTACTGTACAGACAATTTCAATGAGCAAAGCACTTCAATAAAGACAGCAGACATATTCCCCATTGAATGGCGTTCACTATGCATCAAACATCCGGCTACAGGCACGTAACTTCATTTGCTTTCCTTGACAGAGAGAAAAGTTCAACTTTCTCATCTACCAAAACTAATCACAACCAATGGCCCTTCTATTTAGTCAGTGCAGTGTTCAAAACTACAAGAATGTTGGGCATCAAATGAGCTAATGAACTTCATTAATTTCTGATCAATTACATGTCCTGGAGTTCGTTGGTTAAGAAACCAGTTTAGTTGAAAAACAACCACTTTTGTTTAGAGAAACCAAAGCAAAAGACTTTCTATATCCTGCAAGTCACACTTCTGACACCCCAAACCATCTACAGACACGAGTCAGAAGAATGATGTATTACTCTTCACTTGTCTGCAGAAGTACAATGCCAAAAACATTCCATGACACCATCCAGGATAAAGCTTGATTGGCACCACATCCACATTTACTGTCCTGACTACAGATACTCAGTAGCAGCCGCATGCACCATTTATAAGATGCGCTGCAGAAAATCTCCAAACATCCTTCAGCAGCGTCTTCCAAATCTATGACAACTTCCATCTAGAAGGACAAGGGGAGCAGATACATGTGAACAGCACAACCTGCAAATTCCCCTCCAAGCCACTCACCATCCTGACTTGGAAATATATTACTGTTCCACCAGTGTCATTGGGTGAACCATCCTGGAACTCCCTCCCTAACAGCATTATGGATCTAGCCACAGCACATAGACCGCAGTGGTTCAACAGACTGCTCACCACCATCTTCTCAAGGGTAACTGGTACAGGTAACAAATGCTGGCTCAACCAGCAACACCCACATCCCATAACGGAATTTTAAAAAGTGTTTTCCCAGTTAAAGCACAGTTTAGGAGTAGCAGAGTAAAAGGTTAAAACAGCCAGGTTATCATATGGGAACAATTTTAATCAGGTTACATCAATGAAAATGAATTGAACAGCAAAGAATGAAGAATTTGTTCCAGGCCAAAAACTGTCAAAAATTATATTACAAACTGCATATTACTTTCTTTGACGGCTAAAGGGGAGCAGCGAGTGCAGTCAGTAGTGCTGAGCTGTGACTGCTAAAATTGAAGCTTCACTTTCTATGAAAACGTTTTTTGATTGCAACCATAGCCCATATCAGTTTCTGTTGGAATGCAATGCACTGTACAAGCTACCACCCATATCTTTACCAAGATTAAAATACATCTGACCAAAGAAAAAGCCACCAGTTCAGTTTGCTCCACTGGAAGCATATATTTGAGAGCTCATTTAGTAAAACCAGCCTGGAACTAAAGTAGAGAGCAAATTGAAGTACATAATCAAGTAGGGAGCAATCAGCCAGATTCCATTTCTCATCATTATCTGCAAGGAAACCAGAGTCACCTGCCCATTAAAACTTTCAGTTTGAGTTCACACACAAAGAATGGTCAACTTGGATAAGTGACAGGGTTGTCAGGGCTTCTGGATCTGTATGCTAGCACTAATAATAGGAAGGCTGATAAACTGACAAGTACAAATGTCAATTGAACACATTTAAGGTGAAGCTCTAATTTCGTGTAAGATAGACAAGGAAACCTAGTGAATATTATGCAGTTCTATGAAATGACCTGAGCAAACTTCATGGTAGTTTACATGACAGTCTACAAATGCCTTTTCTGAAACAGTTTCATCTTCTACAGTTGTAACTTTTGATTTCAAATCTGTTTTAGTTTAGTCAATCACATTGAGGTATTACACTATAACCAGGGTTTAGGGAAATGTTTGTTAAAACATCCTTCACAGCAAAATTCAGCTTGATTTGTGGAGACAAGTGTTGACCTCTTTAAAAGCTCACATGTCCAATAAAACTGAAACTGTTCTGAGGTATTAATATACATCCATGTACAATGCTGTATAAAACAGGTCTGTGGTAAAATTCTGGAAGGAGGTTAGTGTGTTGAGTGAAGCTGCTGTACAGGGTTCAGTTGGCTTTGATAGTTCTTACATCCCAGGTGAATCGAGAATGTTCCGCAAACCCTTGGTCAGGTTGCGTAGTACCCTTTCATTGCCAGGTCTTGCATTCACTTCTAGCATGTGCCCCTAGAGAATGGGGAGGCTGCATGACCAGGACAATATGGTCTTCAGCCCCATTGGAACTAGACTGTTGGACACCAGCATCAATACAGATAGCACTCAAGAGCATGGGCAGCCCAGATCTCAGATTCATGGCCCAGCAGGTGGAACAGGAGCAGGGGAAGAGCTGTCAGAGTGCGGCATGGAAGGAGGAAGATCAGATTATCCAGGTACAGCTCTTTACGGATGACTCATATTTGCTTTGAAAATACAGCAAATTCTGGAGGAAAGCGCATACTGTTGGTTTGAGCAGCATGTTCTGTTTCACTTGGGCTACATAAATATCAATATTTGATGCTGACCCATTTGCCAAAACAGCTCTCTCCTGACATAAAAACTCTAAATAAAGAAATGAAGGGCAAGCAGGAAATACCAAATAATGTCAGGAATACAAGCAGTCTGGCCTTACCACTCTAGAATTATGTTCCACACACTAAAACAGAGACTAATAGGATAAAAATCCAATAAAAAAGTGAACTTGGATTGTTTTCAAGGACTGCCTCTCCATTTTGCATTAAATTGGTATCTCTTTCAGATGGGTGGGGAACTGGCTGGCACAGAAAGAGGAGACATTACAGTAATGTAAAAGACTTTTAGTTTTGCAGATTGGAGTTGAAGTGTGCTGTTGGAGCAGAATAAAGAGCATCCACAATGAATCTGAGATATGCTGCATTGACTGAATATCTGAACTAGTTCCTGATGGGCACAAAATAATATCAGCTGAAATAAGTCACTAAAACTCAAAATCTTTCTGCAGTACAGAACTCATTATCAACCCCTAAAGATGGACATTTGGCTTCTGTCCTAGAATTATCTTTTTTCAGCAATTCTGCATTTAAATCATACCATTAATTCATTAGGAGCAAGTACTTGTGGTGTATGGCAGCTATACTCATCAGGAATGCAGGTGAACATCTTAGCCAAGCTACAAGACCTGCTTCAGCTTGTGCTATTATGGGTTAGTTGATCTCAGGTCTTGGAAGATCGAGTTACAGGTAGTCAGTCATCCCCCAAAACTCAAGCAATTTTCACTGCTGGCTCACACTGCTTTGGGAATTTAGGGAATTCTTGAAGAATGCACCTGTCTTCACTGGACATTAAACTTAACCAAGATAGCTTCCTTTTGTGAACTCCATGGCCTATATTGAAATGTAAAAGCTTTCTAACAAAGTGTATAGCAAACATATTGGTAAAATAGGCGAGATCTGGAACACCTCTTAATTTCACTTGTACAGCTTGTCAGCATCTCTGTTTAAAGCTACTCACTACAAGAAAAACTCCAAGTTGCAATTGTACTAAGATCACAAGCAGCCAGACGTAGAGATTTACTGCTGTGGACATGCCTTTAGGGCAATCTCAAACAGCAACTATGCTGCATGATCCATCACTTAAATCACTCAAATCATATAGGGTTATAATTGGTTAACCAACATCTTTCAACTGATATTAATCCTGCTCATTCACCCCTCAGTAACCTGAACCCTATGTTACTGACTGTAACTTGACCCCTATGTTACTGACTGTAACTATCAATATTAATGCAAATTCTCTCACAATCAGCTATTGATCCCTGCCTGTAATAACCCCTCTCCTACAGCATCCCATGTTACTGACTATGTGTCGATCGAGGTGATTCCAGTGCCCTGTCACTGGGAACCCCTTTCCCTTAGCACCATGTTACTGACTGTATCTCTACCTGATGCGATTCCAGATGTTCTCACTGTCATTTAGGAACTCTTGCGTTCAACACTATAATACTGACTATATCTTACTGATGTCAGTCCAGCTCCCACAGTGTTGCTCAATAATCACTCGCCAGGGTACCCCTTACACAAGTAGTGTCCAGTTACAGAGCAGCACTTGTATAGGATGTTTATGACAAAGGTGGGCTCCTGTTCAGTGGTCAGCAAAAAGAGGGTGTTTCGTTAACAGTGATTGGTTAAAATGTGAACTCAGTAGCACCTGCTCCAGGTAGTGGCCACATATTCCGTTATCTGGAGACATAGGTGTATGTCCTCGATGGTGAGCGTGTTTCATTCTGGTTACTTGATGGCACATTCAGGAAATCCCAGATCAGTATGGTATCATCATGGGAACTACTGATGATCTGAAACTCATCGAACTGCAGTCGAAATACCCGGCCAGAGTGTTCCTGCAAATCAAAATATTGGGACAATGCCAAGTGAATATACCGTACTTCTCACTATTGGAACATAAAGGGATTTCTCTTACACAATACATGCCTACTTGGGGATATTGTACTTAAATAAGACTATCCTCTATTTAACATGCAACTGATATTTTACAATTGTGACAATAAACGATTGTCAAGGAATAGGGAACAAAGACTAGTCTTGTCAGTGACCCCCACATTCCACGAACAAATGAAAAAACAAGAAACCTTTCAACATTTTTACAGTGAGAATACTCAGCTGATAACATGTACTACTGATAAAAGGTACATTTTGTCAAAGCATTTCCTCTTGAACTTGTCAGGACATTAAACTTAAATTAGGCCTGGCAGTTAACCATCATCATTAATAGGTGCGTTCTCCATGGCATGTCTCTACCTAAGTTCACTTGAGAAGCTAGCAAGCATTCTTCGCTCATGCAGTATAAATGCTGGTTTTCCTCAAATTATTATTTCTTGAGAAATGTTCTCATGAGTGCAAGACAGAAAGCTTTGGAAAAATTTTTTTTTTTTTTTTTTTTTTTTAAAAAGTGGCATTCAAGTTCTGTACTACCAAATGACTATTTGATAATGTAATTTGGTAATTATGTTGCCTACATGAACCTGTTCAAGCGGTGTAGCCTGCATGCCTCTGGAATTTCAAAACTTGCTGAGCAGGAGAGGGTCATGCAGGCTACTGTGCCTTAGCCTCTCCCCTGCTCTTTCCCTTCACATTGTAAATTTTCCATACTCAACTATCTAGCCCATGCCCCTTTAAAGTTACTGCTCCATTACCCTTGCAAATGGTACATACCAGATTATAAAGCATTGTTCTAACAACTCTCTGCACCTGACTTTTTGTCCATCACCACAAATCTGCTTCCTGTGATTTGAAATCTCCAGCCAGTGAAAGTTAAGTTTCTCCTTGCTTACACCATCAAACTCCTCAAATCTGAAGTTGCATGGATCACAAGAGCTTTCCATTGAGGAGGGTACAAATGGGACCTCTGCCAACTTGGCTCCTAGACAATCGCTACACTACTAATCATCAATAAGGGAATTGAGGGTTATGGGGTAAAAGTAGGAAAGGGGAGTTGAGGACTATCAGATTAGCAATGACCTTACTGAATGGCAGAGCATGGGCTGAATGATCTACTTCTGATCCTACATCTTATGGTATTATGATTAGTGAGAGGGGTGCTAACCAGTTTGACATTTCTGCCTGAGAGTTCTCCTGATGGCAACCCATGTGTCCTCTGGATGGGCAAGTGAATGGGCAATGATTTAAAAGTTGCAGGAATTGGGGGTCCTGATGAACTGGCAAACAAAGATGCACAAGGGATTGGCATGTAAAGCCTCTCTGCTCGAGTACACTACCGCAAATAGTGACATGCAGCCACAGCAACCTATGTTATTGGCATAAACAGGAAGCTTCAAGACTTCTTGCTGTGCTTTTCTTGAAGAGTACATCTTTTTAACGCTATAGGGGTTTTGGCACAAAGCAGGCCGTCATCTTCCAGCCAGCAGTCAATTTATTTAGAATGTTCCAACCGTCACGTGTTAAGTCAAGCAAGCAAGTCTTTAACCTGTCAACAAGGCTATAACATTCTGCTTAAAAACCAATCATAACTTTCAGCAACTCCATTTTACAAAATAAAAAAATCATTGAAAACTGCAAGCGTTTGTTTATAACTCTCAACTGCATTTATACATTCATCCACACAAAAAAAAAATCTGACAAGAGGTGGAAGAGTGGACTACAGGTAAATGGTTATCAGACATTTCTTTTTTGCTGCTGGGTTTCGAGATTAAAATTGAGCCCACACTGAAGGAATGAAAACTGCTTCGCTCAGCATCGTGTGTCAGCCTTGCATGACATATGCACGGCTAGTCAAAGCCTTGTTAGACGTGTATCTATCGGCTGAAATTATCTCTAATTCACACAATTAATTTTGCTCTGAAATAAGAGGATGGCCAGAGATGCACCAAACTTGGTACATTCGGGTGCTAATCTAAGATGGACTGAGAGGTGTTGCTGGAGTAATGGAGAAGGATCTTTACACACAGCTCATTTTATGACAACTGATCTGGACCAACGATGGAGAGACAAATGAGCATGCAAAATTGCATATTATGTATTACTTGTGTGACTTCCCTAACAACTCAGCAAATTTATACAGTGAATAACTGAGTCAAGTATGTTATATTATAGAGAGCCAGGCAGTAAAGGATGAAAGTACAGCCAATTCTTACAGTCTTGTAGACATTTGTTAGCAGAGATGGGCATTAGAAACATGCACCTCCTAGCTTAAACACAGTTTCAGTCTGTTCTTATTCATAAGGTGCAAGATAAGATTCATAAGAGTCCCAGTTATTATCCAACACCTGTAGACAATGAAAATAAAAATTAAACAAGATAGACTTGAGGGCCCTCCTGTGGCACAGTGATAGTGTCCTTGCCCTGGACCAAGGAGGCCCAGGTTCAAGTCCCACCTGCTCCAGAAGTGTGTAATGACATCTTTGAACCGGTTGATTAGAAAAACAGGTTAATTTTAAAAAAAAAAGGCGACAGACTTGGCAAGTTCCAGGTTGCATTCTCATTTCTGTGGTATTGGAGTTAAGGTCAATATATTTAGCTGAGTTTATCTGGCAGCTTATCAGTCACTGGCACTGGAACAGAATTCAAGTTTTCAATCTGCCTCACAGTAATGGGATTTGAACTCAAGATTCTCTGCTCCAGGTCTCCGGATTACAAGTTCAACAATATAAAGTACCTTACCCATAATTGACATTACACAATTCTGCAGTTCTTGTTCAAACTGTCATCAAACAGGAGGCCATTCAGCCCTGTGCCTGGCTAATTCGTAAAACAGCTATTACTTGATCCGAATGCCTCTTTTTTTCCCTAAAGCCTTGAAACTCTCTTTAGAGTATTTACCAATTCCTTTTTGAAAGTTCCTGTTGAATTTGCTTCTATCACCGTTTTAGGTGGTTCATTCCAGATCACAATTGACTAAAACAAAAATAGAGTTCAATCACTCTACTAAGAATTACTTTACATCTATGACTCAACATTGGTAGCTTAGTACACCCTTTCCCATTGCAGAAATACCGTCTGACTAGCAAGTGAAGTGTGCATACGTACCACCAAAGTGCGTAGACATAAAGTACTTGCAGGGGCTCGAGGATCAAGAGCAGCTTGCAAGTCCCATACTTTTATTTTGCTGGAGAAAGAAGGAAAGACAAACATATACATGTTATACATAAAAATTATTATATAGCCTGGGGAATATTGAGCAATTAAGTGCAAGTCTAAACCACAATGCACTATGGATGGAAACATTTTAATTCAGTCAACTGTGCAGGTACATACATACTCTTTGTAACTGATAATGTATGCACATCACTGGTAAAGTTTTACACATTAGCAGGGCCTGGGTGTGACAAATGCCTGCCAATTTCCTATGCACAATATTAACTGTCATTCAGGGTCCCATGAGTCAGAAGGTCACAGTTTGAGTGTCACTCCAGAAAATCTAGGCTGACCCGTTCAGAGGTATCAGACTTTGAATGAACAGAGATCATAACGGAGGTGAAAAGATCTCATTACACTACTAGAAGAGCAACAGGGCAGTTCTCCTCAGACTTCTGACCAACATTTATCCCATAACCAATGCCACCAAAACAGGTTAGCTCATCATATACATCACTGACATCTGTATACAATTTCAACATGAAAGATGCCAAATAAAATGTTAAGTTCTTGTTTATGAGCTTGGTTCTGGGAGGCTTCAAGGCATGTATGTACAATACAGAGGTCCTGGTAAAGATTTATATAAGAGTGAGTGAGGAATTTAAAGGGCTGTGGGAACAGGGTCTACACATCAGGATTATGACATTGTGCAGAAGAGGAATACCAATGTAGAATGAATATTTGAGATGTGTGCGCAATTCATGTAAAAGTGGTTCTCAGAAAAATAGGGGGTTATAAACTTCCACTATCAATCCTGTATGCTTAATTCTTTGCCATCTTTTCGATTGAGATAGATAGTTAAAATTATTCCAAATATGATAGCAGGTAGTTAGGCTAGAAGTTAAGAATTATTCCTTTTGCCAGGCAGTTAATTCCTATCACATCACACCCTGAATTAACAGATTTCTTATTGGCATGGCAAGTACGATTCTACATTGCTTTTCAGAACTGCACAGATTTTACAGAAAAGGAGAGTAAGTCATGGATTAGAAGGATTTTTGGTTCTCCATTTGATTACGTAAGAGGGGATGGAAGGCAATTTCCTGGAGTTTGCCCTTCGGTCTTTTCTGCCATTCTCAGCAGATTGGAACACCTCGGGAGAGAAGAGGAATGGCACACAAGCCTTCACTATATCACAGCTTCCAGTTATCCTTCCTTGGTTCACTACAGACTGCCAATATCAGCAGATTCAGACATTCATCTTTGTGCTTTATACACTTAGTTTGCAGCACTCTGTACCTCCTAGTCCATGTAATGCAAACATGTCAAGCCAGCAAGTAACAAAAATCCAAATGGAAACAACTTGCAAAGGTGCTATTGAGCAGATAGGCAGGTCTTCCATGTGTTTCGTGAGCCATTTTCCAATATTACAGCACTGACTTCACCTAAAATATTATAGAGCTTTGAGACATCCCAAAGTGATGACAGACGCAAAATAAATGCAAATCTTTTAATCGCCAAGTATTGTCTACAGAGTTATACGCACCCATCGTAAGCTCCACTCACAATCCTCTTGTTGTCAAATCGAATGCATCGCACTAATTCCTCATGGCCTTCTAAAACCCTCAGACAGGCACCACATTCTATGTCCCACAACCTGTAAAAGGGAATACCAACATGACAGACAACTTCTACATTCAGTTGATGCTTCAGCTATATCAGTGAATGGATGTGTTCTCTAACTATTATTTCTATCATAAGGTGAAAGGTGTCAGTGGTGGTGAAAAGAACTATTCCCCATTTGGGAATCACCTATTGTCAGTACTTACCTCCCACCCAGCAACCTACAGGAAATATGTTTTCAACACCATATGACCCTCCTCACAGTCATTTGTCTAGACAGCCAACTCACAGTCAGCTCTTAGCAACTATGGCTTCCTACAAAGACTGTTCAGTGGTGTCAAGGCAGCAGCCAAGACGTGAAAGAGTCAAGTCATTCCAAAAAATAAAACTGACATTTGTGCAAGGTTACCCTAATGGTAACCTTTCACATGAGAAAGTAAAGAACAGGATGAACAAATTCACACTGCTATTCGTTCTACTAATTTTAAGTGTCCATTTGTTGAGTTCTCTCTCATTTGGTGCAACTTTACGCTCATTAGGAACAAGAGGATTACCAGGTTGGGAAAAAAGAGAACAAAGTCCATCTAGTTCTCCTTTCACAATCTGAGTAACTACATGAGGTATCAATTAGCCTTTATTACATTTTCTGAACAGGACACGAGGAAAAATTTAATGACGGGGAGCTTGGGGAACAGGAAGTCCAAAGACAATTGTTCTTCCCAATTACATTATAGCTAACCACATCCTATCTCAAACTAATCAGTAAACAAAATGTTATTTTCTGAAAGAAACTTAATACGCTTTGATTCATTCAAATGCTAACAGCTTTCACCATCCTCTCAGGGAATTGATTTTCAATTGAAAACTTATTTATTGAAATAACTTTTCTGCAAATTTATTTTCAAATTACCTCTCTTAAAATCCATCCTAGGTCTGGGAGATGGTGATGTGGCGGTAATGCTAATGCTCTGTGGACATGGGTCCAAATCCCATGATGGCATTTCATGAAATTTGAATTCAGTAAAAAATAAAATACCAGGAATTAAAAGCTGTCTAATGACATGTAACCACTGCTAAATGCCATTAAAGCCCATCTGGTTCACTAATGTCCTATAGAGAAGGAAATGTGTAATCCAGACCTGGTCCACACCCAGTAATGGGACTGACTTTTAAATGGCCTAGCAAGGCTAATTGACGAGCAACGAAGAATGCAACAATGCCTACATCTCACGAATGAATAAAATGTATATTTCTAATGTCTTAGACAAACTGGAACAAATTGACATAGTAAAATAATACAGACTATACACAAAATCGCAAAAAATTCTCAATCTGCTTTTTAAACATTTTCAAGCAACTTATTCAGACATGTATGACACACCCATCTGTCCTGAAGGTCTGACTCAGATGTAGGAAAACTACCATCATGCCACAAGACTCTAATTCATACTTGTCTTTATATCGGAATGCCCAATTTACAGATTCGCAAATGATCAAATCTTTTGTCTTTCAAGCATTGCAATTCCCCAAGAACACAGAACATCCTCCAATGCTCTTGCCCACCATCTCTTGAGCACAGCAGTCATACTGGATTGTGCATGCTGAGTCAAAACGGGACAGGGTCGCTGCCTAGACAAATGTCAATGCTCTTGATCATTAACCAATAACCTTCAGTCTGGATGCCAGGGAGGGGACAGCAGTCAGCTCAATGACACCCTCCTTGAAATTAACAATCAACACTATGTTTTATTTGAGAGCATAGAAACAATCACTTCAATATGGCACTGGATAATACAAGGTCCGACGTTATCCAGATATTAATTTTAGTGGATAGAAAGGATAGACCGACTGAATCAGTTTCTTAATTACTTGTGTTAGCACATTGCAGAGCTACCAGTAACATAACACAATGGTAAATCAGGTATGTCTGAATAGCATGGCAGTCATGTTTGGTGCATGGTAAGTGATTATATCTTCTGCAGTATAGGGACACATAGCAAGAGGATGCCTCACGGCCCACTTTGCCTGTGCCACCTTTCTGGGAGTTAATTATTGGTTCCGCAGCTTCGTAGCACACCTCAAGCCTTATAATCTGTTAATCATTTCATATACATGGACAGAGATTCAGCAGGTCAAGACTCTACCTGATGGTATTGTCGGAGGAACCACTGACAACCAGTCGGTCCCGATACTGAAGGCACGCTATCCCACGCTTATGGCCATTCAAGGTACGCACAAATTCACAAGTACTCGTGCTCCACACCTGCAAGGATAAACACAAAAGATACATCATGCCCTGAAAAAAAAACCCATCTCTTTCCACAATGACCTCATAGGGATTCAAAACAATCTCCAGCTTCTGAACACGAAGACAAATGGAGAAAAATGTATCATTACTCAGAAAAACAGCTTGCAAAAAGCACTGGCCAGCGTATTGTCAAAGCACGTAGACATCATATCTAACCTCGACCTACAGTCTGAGGGTTAAGATGAATGATGAGGCAGAAGGTTATTACGAGGTCATAGACATGCTTGCCAAGTTGATGGGTTTGGTTGTAAACATTTCGTCACCCTGCTAAAACATCGTCCGCGCACCTCTGGAAGTGGTACCAAACACCTCAACAAACTGAGGTGGACAGAGGACAGACACTTCACCAAAGGCGCACTGAGAATGTTAACTAGCAGGGCGAAGGGTTTGCAACCAAACCCATCGGCTCGGTGAGCATGTCTACAACTTCATTCAAACCCAAGGATGTCACTGGCAATCTGCCAATACACTCTGCTAACTGTCAAAGTATAACCATTTGGGAATGTGCCAAAAGGTCAGTGTCACAAAGTCATACTATCACAGATGCGTTATGTTGCAGGAAGCCATTCAGCACATTATATCTGCATCAGCTGTCTGAACATTTTAACTTCGTGCCAAACTCTTGCCTTCTTCCCTCAACTCTGAACACTGCATGATTTAAATGGAAATAATGCCCTCTTGAATGCCTCAATTAAACCTGCCTCCATTACACTTCCAGGCAGTGCAGTCTAGGCCCTAGCTACTTTTTCACTTAACAAGTGCATTTTTACCTCACATTTGCAGGGAATATCAGAATATTTAGGGAAAAAGAAGACAGAAAAACCTAAAGAACTATAATCACAAAATCACTAATAATTTAATGAATACTGAACACGTGATCACAATCTGAATAGCTTGCTGCTTTACAGCTCAAAACACTAGCGATTAAGAAAATCTGGAAGCATGAAACAGAAGATGCTGGAAGTTACCAACAGGTCAGCAAGTATCAAAAAGAAATATTTCAAGGAGGAAACTTTTTATTGCACCTTAGATCAAATACTCACTCCCTTCACCACTTCAGTACCTGGTCAGTAGCAGCAGCTGTACTATCTACAAGACACTGAAGCTGCTCACCAAAGCTCGTTTCAGTACCTTCCAAGACTGCCACCTCTATGCCTCTCAAGTCACCCTTGACTTGGAACTATATTGCCGACCCATCACTGTTGCTGTGTCAAACTTGAACTCCTTCCCTAACAGCACTGTGGGTATTCCCATAACCATAAGAGCTACAACAATTCAAGATGACACCTCACTATCAGCTTCTCGAGGGCAATTCAGGATGGGAAAATACTGGCCTGGACAGAACTACTCACACCCTATGAAAGAATAGTAGAAAGAAACAGCTTGCTGCAGTAAATCGATCCAGTTGAGAAGTCTAGGCTATTAAATGGGTTTCCAGGACAGGAAAGGATACAGATTCAAGTCTCATGCGGCTCGGCCCCTGATCTGAGTTTTATTGATCAGGTAATCATCAGGCACAGTTCTGTACAACCCAGAGTAGGGTAGGAGATTCAAATCTTGCCTTTCTAAATTAATGTCTACAAGAGGCAATTTCAGAAATCCTGGCAGTGTTTATTTACTCAAACATGTACTAGGTCTGGCAGGCAAAGAGAAAACATAATTAAAGAGAAACCTTGGGATAAAAATATCCTATGTTATAACAAGTACAGTATCCAGGCTTCCTTTCATGAAAGGCTGCAGCTATTTAAAACATGAACATTAGTCATGCAATTTCTCATACACAAAAGCAGTAATGCAGCAAACAGGACAGAAGGAACAAAAGCAAAAACTGCAGTTGTTGTAAATTAGAAACAAGATCAAAAACAAAGAGTTGGAAACACAGGTGGTCAGGCAGGATTGCTGGAGGAAACAGTTGATGTATAGGGTGTTGATCCTCTGCTGGTGCTAGAATAAAAGAAGCCAGTAAATTCTCTAAGCTGCTGGAGAATGGTGGAAACGGAGACAGAGAAGAACCAACACAGCAGAGACTCTCAGTGAGGAGAGACAGACACACACAGATGAGGAAGAAATTGAGACAGGATGGGGAGGATTGGAGAACATTTAAACTCACTTTAATAGTTCGGTCCCCTGATGCTGAAACAATGTATTTGTCATCAAAGTCTACCACATTGACCGCTGCCCGATGGCCAACCAACACCCTTCTCAGAGTGATGTCAGTTGGAGAGGCCATGTCCCACACAGCTATAGATCTGTCCTTTGAACATGTGACCATCAGTCCATTACTAAAACGAAGATGCAACACTGCCTCATTGTGATGAATTAGTGTGTTCAAGACCTCTGCTGTATTAACATCCCAGACCCTAGGAAAGAAACAAATTCAGTTAGGCTACTGTCACCAAATTATCATTTCACAATGGGCATACCCCGCAATATTGCTCTGGATCAAGAAAAGTCTGCATAAAAATGAAGAGGAGTGTGTTTTCCTTTGCCTCTGTAGAAAACCCCTTCTGTTACAGAGCAGAGTTGCACCAAGAGAACTTGATCTATCACATTGTTCATATCAGTGGCCATCCTTCATGTGGTAATCAACACATTGATGCTTAAGTGTATTCTACCATTGAAGAGGCAGAACATTTGTCGCAGAACATTTGTCGCAGAACATTTGTCGCAGA